GGACATTTCCAGTAACATACAGCTAGCAATAATAGTGTTTTATAGAGACACTTTTCAGTTAATGGGCCAATTTGGATAATGAGGCTGGTACAAAGGGGAATGTTATCCTTGAATTTATAAATACACATTAACATGTAAGGAGAAATAATTCATTTTGCCTTAGTATCTACTACTGTTAATGCCACTGTTACAATAACTTTTTGAACTGTAGTACACACACTTCAGAAAGTTTAAAAAGCCTGTGAATGTACATGGTGGTAACAGAAGGCCCACAGTGTAATGGTACAATGCTGATAAATCCCATATACTAATATAATTTAAAAGAAAATTTAGAAAGTGATTTCAAAGGGAAGCAGCTCTACTGAAACAGTGGGACTCAACTTTACTCATAAAGGCATAACTCTATCCCCCAGACAGACACTGAAACAATTTGGGTTTTTTTCAGAATAAAGAAGAAGGGCTGAAAGCAATAAAAGAAAAATCAATTAAATGATAAGATGCAATCTTTGTCTCTGAAGTACCCTAAGCCACAGAGCTGGGGACTTCTATCAGGGAAGGTATGAGCTGTCCTGTTTTCTTTGCAAACACTCACAAATGACTGCTGTGGAGGGAGAGGCAGATAACTGGGTAACCCAAGACAGTTTTTCTCAAATTACACTCTAAACAATTCTTAATGTGAGCTTGAAAAACTTTTAAGGAGCGTTTTTTAACTTCTCTACCTTGTAGAATAAATTGCTTACATTTTAATGCTAAGGGTGGGTGGGGGCATGATTGAATCACTGTGATGCTTTCTTATAATCAAATCTGTGAGTTAGTATGCCTCTTTACTTTTTATTTATTTTTATTTTTAATGTGGAATACGCTTGCTACCATGGAATTCTGTGTGATCTATAGCTGCACAACTGCATGCATTAGGCCTCAAAACTGACAGTTTGCAGAGATCAGGAAGAATCTTCTCTCCTTTCTCTGCAGTGTACCAGGAGACAAATGGCTGTATTCCCCTAAAGTGCCTGGGATTGACTATAGCTGCAGATAACTTACCTGACAAGTTTGTGCAGTGTTTACAATATTCACAGAGAATTTGTCTTTCTTATCTTTTTGACTTAAGTGTCCTATACAAATAATCAGGATCATGCCAGTCATCAGATTTGCAAAGGAAATGGATTTTTCTTCAGGTTAGAGTTACAGATAAGAGACACCTCTTGAAGTGATGGTCTGTAGCTTACATCTACGCTAATACATTAAATAAACATGTCAGTGGCTTTTTTTATTGCACTGAGTACCACTGGCACAGGTCTTGTGTACACAATACTAAACTGGTTTCTCAAAAACCAGTTTGTTTCGTGTGTTTTGCCTGTTAATAATCGTGGCCATCTCCACAACTTTTCATGGGAATTCTTTGAGATCTGTTGTTCTCATGGGCCAAATCTTTGCAAGGAACGTTTCTTAAAAAATTGTGATAGAGTTTTAAAACAGCTTGATAGTAGAATTTCAGTGTCTAGTGTGATCCCTTTCACTTTTTAATACAGTGTGCAAGTATATTTTAGCATGGTGCCTGTATATCCTGCCAAAAAAGACCAGAATTTTTACTTTTTGAAGTGTCCTGGTATGGTGCACTATCTCTTGCTGTTTGATCCATGGCATGACAGGAGTGTATTGCTGTTCTAGTCCTTGACCACCCTGTTGAACAGATACTGGTCTGTTTATGCAGTTTCCTTCTGGCTGATGTGTCAGTCAGAGCTGTCAGTGACAGCTGTACATTCATCATGCATTTCCTGTCTGTCTGCTGCAGCTCTTCAGCAGCCCCACAGGAATGCCCAGCAGTCACAGGCCTCTTCCCCATCTGCCTCATGAAATGACTTCTGATTTCTTCAGGGCAGGCATGGCCATGTAATCAGCCATCTTCCCTCCAACCTCTTTTCTATTCCACTTCCCCAGTGTAGTCACATTTCAGAGGCACTGCACCCACTTTATTAGGAGTTATATGATCTTCATTTTTGGCTTGGGCACAAATTTTTCTTGGCTGTCTCAAAATGTCTCAAAATTATCTGGCTGCCATCTTATCTCAAGTTATTTACCTATGTGTTTTTTCATTCAACTTTTGTGTGATGTCCCTCTTACACCACCTGTCAATGAATTGAACCAACATTTTTGCAGTTTGTCATAATTGTGACTGTTGTCATAATATTTAATTATTGGTTGAGATAATTGTTGGCTTGAAAATCTACCTTTTGGGTGTTTTTAGCTCCTGAAGTATTTACTAGGCTTCTGGTGATCAAACTGCACCTTGTGCTGCATTTTTAGGTGTGAGCTTTTTGTTTTATTTTGTTTGTGGGTTGCCTGTTTTTTTTTTTTTATTTTTTATTTTTCTTTTTTTTCCCCCAGGTGAATTAGACCTATCTAATCTCATGGGCAGTTGTGATGATCTGTATTTTCAGGAGTTTCTTGGCCTAAAATTACTATCTGTCAAGTATTACATGTGTAGTCTTCTGCATTTGGAACTCACCATCTGATAACTAAATGGATGCCTTGAAGGTTCAAAATAAAGTTAAATGGTGTCAAAACAACAAAAAAGACAAGTTAGGCTGATTTTAAATCATATAGGGAAGCAAATGATGGAAGCAAGCAATTTGAATTAAGAATGCTGTGAGCTTTCAGCCAAATCAGAAGTAGAAACCATTCATATGAAAGAGTAAGATGAAATAATGGAGCTGGAAGATGACGTAGATAGAGTTAGTCACTGGACACTGAAAATTTGTTCAAAAGTTAATTTTTTTTTTTTTCCTGGTAAACTGGGTTCTAGGAGAGTGTATGAATATCCTTACAGGAAGTTAATAATTGTATATAAAATTTGAATATTTAGTGATGGCATATTTAGAACATATTATTACAAGGTATATTCTTGCAAAAATAATTGGTGTATTAGAAAATAAAGTTATCTTTTCTCTAGTTTTATTATCTAAGTTTCATTGCCATCATATTTTCTTAAAAATACTAGCTTGTGCATAATGAAGAACACACACTTCCCAGCAGAAACTGAAGAATACTGTGGTCTTTGTTTTTGAAAAAAAACAACAAACAGAAAAAAGGGACTTAATTCATATAATTCTCTCCTGTCACAGTTCTTTGTGAAACTGAACCTTAGGTGAGGAGTAACTTCAGATTCATGCCTGTAGGACAGTAAGTTGATTCAGGCCATAAGGCAAGTTTTCAGATCTGCTGAAGTCAGTGACAACATTTTACTTGATTTGGGTGGAATTTGCTTTATTGTCAAGCATCCATTTTATCTAAGGATGTATATCTTGAATTGTTTTTCCATATTGCTATTGGATATTAAAAAGCAGAAGACTTGTGTATTCCCGATACTTTTTTTCCATTCAGTTCTCAACTACATTCTAAAGAATTTAGTTAGTGTTTTCTCACTAAATAAGACTGAGCAGTCTGCTTTCTCTGAGGAACAAATTTTGCCCAGAACCTCAGTAGGATCTGTGTTCAGACATTGTCCTGAACACAGAAATAAGAAGTTTGGTTCCGTAATTATGTAAAAGGCAGGAAACGTTTGGTAAAAATCCTTTTGCTCTGAATCTGTGTCATCTTGAAACCTAGGGACATTTCAATGATTATATTCCAAGAGAAATAAGGATTTTTTTTTATAAGAATATTTTCTATAAGAATGCTGATTTGGTTACCTTCCCTCCTCCAGACAGCAAATGGGAAATCAGTGCACATTTAAACCACCTTGATGAAATTAGTGCACATGAACATTTAAATTCAAAATGATAGCTTAATCCCAGAAACTGCTCCACACTCAGTACCCTTTAAAAATCAAAGGAATTCCATGTGGTCACAGCAGTCTGCATGCATAGAGAGTTAGCTGGATTTGCTCCATATTTTAAGCTTTGTTATTTTGTCCATGGATTTGGCTTGCAGACAGACCATAACTCTTTTAGCAGTAAAAGGTATATATCTGGTGATCAGACTCCTATGTGATAACAGACCTTGCAGTATTTTTAACAGAAAATGTCTGGTGGCCTGAAATTAGTAACTATTTGGGTTTAAAACTAAAGCATAAAGATGGTATCTTTTCATATTTTTTCCTCACTTGCCTTTCTAAAGAGTAGAAATTATCCTGAAGCATATTATGCTTCAGAAATCAAGGAAATCACTATAAATCCTTATAAAAATCAATACCATTTTGGGAGTGTCCTTTTATCACTATCCATATTATCCATATTATAGGATTGCACATTCAAAATATGAAGATGTAATTAATGAAGTGGCTGCTGCATGTGCATTGCTATTGTAAAAGCTATGCCTAAGAAAATGTTTTAATTTCATGGTAGCTCCAGGTATTTACATATTAATTACTCAAAAACTCATTAGCTTCTGTATTTGAATGATTGTATCTACAATGACAAAAATTTTCCTTTAAAGAAATTTTTTAGCTTTTTGCAGAAATGTTTTTAATTTTAGTTTGTTACCACATATTCTTGCACTATGATTATGGAAGGACAATGAGAAGGGCACTAAAATGACAGTTCATAAGATGTTTTTAAAAAATGGTATAATAATTAAGATTTCAGTTTTTTAATTAGAATCAAAGTCTAACTTACTATTGTTTAGTTGATAAGTGTGAGACCATAGGAGGCTAAATAAGTAAAACTTAGGGTTTAAGAATCAGTAGCAGTCTATAGCCATGCTGCTGTAACTTCCTAACAGAATGGTAGACTGCTTTATGGAGCTAGTGATTACAAAGATCCACTTTAACCATTTTTTTCTTGCTGGCAGGTGTCCCACTGGCCTGAGGCCAGCGGCTGTGAGTGTACTGCAGCTTGTGGTTTACACCAGAGTGTAGAAAATGCCGACACCAGCTGGCTGCACATAATTAAACTGATTGCGGTCTGACAACTTGGACTATGATACAGATATGTGATAAATATACAAAGTATCTTACAAACGTGATTCACTGACATTCTTTATCTGCTTCTTTTTCTTAACAGATATGATATCTGCACTTATAAAAACAAGCCTTGTGGAACACTGGGTAAGATTATAAAGAGACATTTCACCTCATATTTGCTGTTTCCTTGCTTTATACTTAGCTGTTGGTTTATTGACTGATTAGATCTTTTTAAGTTTGTACTTTAAAAATTTTGTAGTTTTATAAACATGAAAAATAAAAGATAATCTAGGTGGATTTTGGCTTTGATACATTGCTGGAAGTTTTATTTCTGTGAGCCGGTGCTGTGTATTTCATCTCTGATAGCTGTAGTTCTGATAAAACCTAGCAGATGACTCAATTTTACTTCTTACAGAAGAGAACTTGCTGTTTATTTCCATTTACTGGTGTCCATAATCTAGTTTAAAGAACAGACCTATCCCCATAAACCTTACAAAATAAATGGACTTTGAGGTTTACACTCTTGCTGTGTTGTACACGAGTACATCTTCATATTTTTCCTTTCAAAGACTTAGGAAAACATAGCACAGTGATAGAAAATACAACATTGAAACTACTTAAAACAGTGCTTTGACAATGGAGAAGTGCACATGGCAACCTTAGATTAAGGATGAGGAGCTATTATTCTCTCCATACCTAAATATGTGACCAGAAGTTATTTGCTAAAATAAATAGCTATAGATGACCTCTTACTATAGGTTGTTGCCTCCAACGGTGCTTTAACATGTAAAGGGAACATTATTCAAAGACTAATATAACACTTGTTCAGATGTTTTTTCAGTTTGCATCCTTTCATAAGCCTCTTTCTTGCAGGTGATTAAAGACAAAATTCTAATTCCGTTAGTTCATATTATTAACACTTTTCTCAGTCAGGGTTCTTGATTGTATTTGCTGTATTTCCCTATATTACTGTGTGCTTGATAGCCTTAACCCAAGTTGATTTTTTTATGTAAGTCTCTTGCAAATCAGTACAATGCTTCTAGCAGAGGGGTGTAGTTTACATGGGGAAAGGTACCAGAATTTTGCCTGCTATAAATATAAACAAACCCACAGCATGCTTTAGTAAAAGGCAAATCATGCTGATAAATTTCTAAATGTAATTGATTTTATTTGACATTGGAGGTGATGAAACTGAAGAGATGATGTCTTAGAAGTGGTTGTGCAAGTGTTAAAAAAAATGCTTTCATGCATTCATGCATGAACTATTTGATACTTTTATGATACTTTTAACACAGATCATTAGTGTACTAGTCCTTACTCTGTCAGATTTTGGCATAAAAGCAAATTCTGCTTCACATGAATCCAGTATAACAGAGGAGAGATTTGGCAAATATTTCATTAAAAAAAAGTTAATTTAAAAAAATTAAAAATAAGAGTCATATATGGTATCGGTTCCAACTTACTCTTATAGGCATCTTGGCAACAAAACCATGACCATTTTTCTGCATTATAGGCATTGATTTGGAGAAAAGGCCCTGTAGTCCTCTTTTGCAAGGCATTTGATATGCTTGAGTCACACTGACATCCAATAACTAAAGTTAATCATATATATAAGGAGTCTCTGAAAAAAAGTCACAGAGAGGTCTCAGAAGGTCAAAAGAAATCTGAATACTTGCTATTCTAGGAAGACACAGAAGTAAAAGATTTCATGTAGCATCTGTATCCTATTTTAGACACCTGAAGCATGGAACCTTTCATGAAACCTCTTAGAAAAGATAGATCTCAAGCATATTTGCAGTGTGTCTGTGGCTTCAGTGAAGGACAAGTCCTTCTAAAGTCTGAGTCACTGACTGAGTTCTTAACTTCATCTCTGTCACTTTCTGCAAGCATGGTAATTGAGTTATATTACTCTGGTCTTCTAATTTGCTGAAGCAAGCCTTCAGTTATAAGATCTGAAGATGGAAATGACTTTATCATCCAAATATGGTGGACTTTGTAGGGGAACATGATAGCTGTATAGATACGTATTGCCATATGGTCTTCAGAATTTCTTCAATTAGAGCAGCATAGCTGAACTGCAATTATTGCATTTTCTGCAGGTTCCACACTGCAAACTTTCCAGACACACATTGTCAGCTTTTGCCCATGTCAGTTTGGCTATCAGAGTAGTTTTGATGTGTCCAAACTAGATTTTTTGGGAAGAAACATGGAAGACGTAGCCCCCAAATCCTCTATATGTGCCTACAGGAGACCTGAGATCGCCTATGGGGCATGTTCTCATGATACCCCTGCAATATTTTTTCCCTTCAGGAGCCTTTGAGCCACAAGTGGTGTTCAGTGTACAGGATTCAACCAGCATGCAAAGATACACAAAGAGCTTCAACATCAGTGCTTCACTGCTTGATTCACTCCTATGGCTTCAAATTAATTCCTAATGTGGACACAGCAGGAAACATTTGTCACATTATTACTTCCTTACTGATAGTCCAAAGAGAATAATTTGAAGTCTCTGCTCATATGAATAGTTTGCTTTCTCTCTTCTCCACTCCCTGTTCCATTCCCCTCATCTCTCAAACAAAGTTAAGCTTTTTCAATTTTTCTGGTTGTTATTTTTGGGGTTGTTTTGATTTTTTGTGCTTGTTTTTGTTTTTGTTTTTCAGTTGTTTTTTTTTTAATGTAGTTAATTGAGCTGGTAGCTTCCTTAAAGAAAGGTTTGCTGCTTCCTTCAGATAAGAAATTCTAGGGGAGAAATACATTAAATAAACCTGATGTTTAAAGCTTTCTCTAAAGGCACTAAATTATGACTGCAGTATGTTCTGTAATAATCTGTTGCTGAAAAATGTATAAGATACAGAAGAGCCATAGTCAGTAAATGCTAGTGGTATTCTCTCTCTGAAGAAAGTTTTTAAAAGCCCCTGTAACACAATAAGGTTTTAATGCCAGGAGATGATAGGTGATAAATGGAAAAGACTTCCATGGTTTAAATGCATGCTTGTTATTAACATGTCTCCTCTCTCTTCACTGATGCATTCAGTTTTGTTTTTTTAGTTTTTTTTTAATGTACCATGTGAGGTTTTTCATAGCTAAAAAAGTTGCTTGTATGTTTTTATGAACCCACTAAACTTAAACAGATTTCTTTAGAAAAATAATGTGGATACATTTTGCTTTCTTCAGGCACAAGAATGTTAAAGTAGAAATGCTTTCTTGAATTCCCTCTCCTGGCTCAAGTTACTAGGTGGTCCCAAGTTACCAGAAGTAAAATTTATAAATCTAACCCCTAGTCTAGACATTTTCCAGCACTGACTGCAGTTCAAAAAATATTAATGTCTAGCCGGCAAAGTGAAATTCCCCCCAGTGATTTTGCAAATGACTAGAAAGTTAACCTTTTGCCAACTGCTCCTTCTGTGCATAGAAGTTATTAAAAAGAATCCAGGCATTTATAACTAGGGCTTTTAAGACTGAAACACCTTGGCATGACCCTTTGTGTCTCCTTCTGTTTATTCAGGCTTGGCCTCTGTGGCTGGAATGTGTGAGCCTGAAAGGAGCTGCAGCATTAACGAAGACATTGGCCTAGGTTCAGCTTTTACCATTGCACATGAGATTGGTCACAAGTGAGTGAGTTTAAAATAAGAATACATTTTAACTTATCACCTTTTTAATATTAGTTAATAATCAATATAATTTTTTTCCTGAATCATCTCTATTCTGATGTTCCATGTATTGTATATGATATTCATGAGTGGCATTACATTTTATTTAGTATGTATTACCAGGGGCTTTAAATTTGGAACTGAAGACTCGTTGTACCTACCCTTTGATTTCAGATTCCAGTTAAATCTCTCTTTTTGAGACTTGACTCACAACCTTCCTATTCTGTTTCTTATTTTTAAATATTTGGCTTTGAAAATAGTTTCTCCCCCATTACTTTTTTCTGCCTTTCTGTATGAAAGAGAAATGGTTAAAAGGTAAAATTTTTTTGCTCTCTTTTATTTTGTCTTTAATATAATTGAAATTATTATCATTGAAACATTGATTCTGTTGCCAATATTCATATGCTTTAAGTTCTGTTTCACTCAAGCATGATCAATATAAAACAGGCATAGGCACTTGTTACATTTAAAGTATCAGCATATGGTTTTAAAGAGTATATTGTTATGACATTGATAAAATCTGAGTAGTGTTTGGTCTGGAAATATTTCAGGCCTTCCGTCAAAAGGCAGCAGTATGAGTACATTGTGATGACTCTAAAAAGACTGGGCACCTTCTTTTATCAAGAGGTTACCTTTCTTCTGTGCATGGATTGACCAATACAGAGTAATGGATAACATGCTTTCCCACTCACTAGCTGATGGAAATGAAAGCTAGCAATCTCCTGATCAAAAAAAAAGAAAAAAAGGAGTTGGAAGTAAACAGTTATTTTTAACCCACCTATTATGTTAGATAATCACTGAGCAACTATGCTCTCATTTATATTATGTATTAAAAATCCCCTACACATCTAGTGTAGATGAATTTTAGAATTCAAAAACAATTGTACGATATCTGAACAATAATAAAATTTAAAAATACATTTTTTAAATCCTCCCTCCCCTCATTAATAGGGTTGGGAGGGACCTCTAGATATCATCTCATTCAAACCCCTGCCAAGGCAGGGTCACCTGCAGCAGGTGACACAGGAACATGTCCAGCTGCATTTTTGAATGTTTCAAGAGACAGAGACTCCATGACGTCTCCAGGGAACCTGCTCTAGTGCTCTGCCACCTTCAATATAATGAAGTTCTTCCTCATCTTGAGTGGAACTACTTGTGTTTTAATTTTTGACTATTGCCCTTTGTCCTGTTCCTGGGCACCACTGGAACGAGTCTGGCACTATCCACTTGGCACGTGCATTTGAGATATTTGTATATGTTCTGTATATGTTATTCCAGAGATACAGAATATTATTTAATATATGTAAAAATTTTATCATGCAAGATGGCATGATGACCAGAATTTATTTGAAGAGCTTAGACTTTGACAGTTTGAAGAGACTGCTTAGACTCCAAAAAAAAAATAGTATAATAATAGTGTATATTCTGTGATCATAGGAAAGTTTTTGCCATCAGTGTTTTCTGTGTTCGGTATCTTTTGGCTTCTTATACAGAAGGTCTTTTAAAATTCTGAAATCTCAGCTCTTTGAGGCTTTCAGCTAATTCTTGAGATGGCAAGATATGTCAAATGATGTTTTAGTAAGATGCAGAAATCATTCCTTTAGCTTTTATTTTTTTAACTGCACAGTTATTAAAGAAAGTTGCACTACAAGTTTGGGTTTAAGAATTAATATGCCATGTGGATATCATCAGTAAAACCTGTGAAGAATATGTGGACAAAAAAATCTTCAAGATTTATGTTTTATCATAGCCACAATATCATCTGTCATTCTACCCACACAGTGATTGAATGCCTCCACAATTATGTCACAGTTATTTCCTCTCAGTCTTCTAGTTTCCAGTACCTACTAGACACTATTTGCATATGTGAGTAAAATAATTGTTTCTGAGAGCCTTGTAAACGTTTTTCTTTGGCTGTACCTCTTTTCAGACTTAGAACAGGAAATTGACTTCATTGTTAAGTGAAAAATAGAAGCATTTAAAGGACACATCTTCATTGAATATGTAACATACAACAAAAGAGTGCTCAATTACACAGAATCACAGAATGAGTCAGGTTGGAAGGAATCACAGTGGTCATCTGGTCCAATCTCCCTGCTCAAGGAAGGTCATCCTAAAGCTCATAGCACCAGTTGTATCCAGTGAGGAAGAATTTACAGCCTCTCTGGGAAATCTATTCCCATGCATAGTCACCTGCACAGTAAAGAAGTTCTTCCTTATGTTCAGGTGGAACATTTGTGCATCATTTCTGTCCTATCATTCAGCACCTCTGAGAAGAGCCTGGCTTGGTACTTCCCCTCCATATCCTCTTGGTACCTCCCATTCACATACTTACAGGCACTGCTGAGGTCCCCTCTCAGTCAGCTTTTTTTAAGGCTGCACTCCAGCAGCTCCACGTCTCTCTTGTTCTGAGAAGCCGAGAACTGGACACAGCACTCCAGGTGAGGCCTCATCAGGGATGAGTACAGGGGCAGGGTCACCTCCCTCCACCTGCTGACAAAGCTTTTCCTAATGCCCCCCAGAGTCCCATTGGCTTTCTTGGCCACCAGGACACACTGCTGGCTCATGGACAGCTTGTTGTCCACCAGGACCCCCACATCCTTCCCCTCCATGCTACTCCCCAGCAGGTCAGCTCGAGGCTGTGCTGGTGCCTGGGATTGTTCCTCCCCAGGAGCAGGACCCTGTTTTTGTCTTTGCTGAATATCAGATGGTTCTTCTTTGTCCATCTCTCCAACCTGCCAAGGTCAGATAGGCTGCACAGCACTCCAGGGTGTTGGCCATTCCAATGTGCTGAGCAGGCATCTGCCCCTTCATCCAAATGATTGATGAATATACATATAAAAAATCTATAAGTGGTGAGGAACAGAAGCAAAAAGAAATGACCCCAATAAATATTTAACAGAAGGTATGACTGAACATTATAATCACAATCAACCTATCAGTCTCTCAAGTTTTCAAGGAGAAATGCTTTTCTGGGTAGCCTTCTACAGATTGCAATGGGAGAATTGCACTTTGAAAGATCATGTTTTTATTAGTTGTATAGTTGGTATGGAATACCAAGTTTTTAAAAAAACTTTTGAATTGAGGCTCAAAATTCGTCAGGGATTAAAAGAGAACAATTATGATAATACATATTTTTTGATGGGTTATCCAAAGTTTCTCCAAAATTCGATATATAAGCTTCCCTGATGGAAGTGTGGCTCTACTTGTTGTTAGTACTCTATTGAATTATAGAGTGATGAGGAGTCATTAGATCCTTCAGTCTGAATTCCTGTATATCATAGTGTGTTAAATTAAACTCATTTAACCTGTATTGATCCAAATTAGTTCCATTTGGTTGAAGAATCCCAGGAAAGTAGTTCTTGAAACCTTAAAGGAATTGGTAGTCTGATTGCAACAGTCAGTCATACCTTCTGTTAATTAGTTACAGTTTTTGTAAAAAAATTTTTTTGGCTTCCATTCATTACCAATTGTAGTGTTTGTATGTATATAACCCAGTTTTGGTACTGTTCAGCTCTGTGCAGTTCAGACTCATAACCAGCTCTTCTATTGAAGATGGTGGTACACAGTGATTGTTTCTTTCTTGAGGGCATAAACAATGGAGAAACTAACATTTTTTGTTTCTCCCTAGCAGTGATTCAGAGAACAGCCTTGTATTACTCTTAGTACTTGTGTGAACTAGATACATTTCAGAGCTGGCCCTTTAGACTTCAGAATGGTTTCTTTAGAAAACTGAATTTTGATGTTTGACCTACAGAATGTCTGCTTTCCTACCATCATATGTTTCACACCAAAGTTGCTTAAGATTTCAGGTAAGCAAAAAATCACAGTGACTTCTTGTACCAGGAGTGAGAATTGAGTGTGTATCCCCTAAATCCTCAAGCAAAGTTGGACTTTTTCTTCTTGGTGAAGAGAGGGACTCTTTGCAGGCCTCATCATACTTTTATCTTGGACAAGCTGAATGATGTAAGATCCAATCCTATTATATATTCCCCAGCCTGAGTTAGGTGGCTTTCTGCTCTATGCTTTTATATTTGGAGACATTCTAAAATGTCTAGCTTGTCCCATGCATGCTGTACAGCATGCTTAATTAAACTGGTAAGGAATTCCAGATTCCACTGGAGGAGGTGTATCAGTAAAAGAAAGGCATTTTACCATTCATTGTTGCAGTATTGTGGAGGAGTTAGCTGAGATTTGGAAAGCAAGAAACAGAGTGAAAAGGAATAAATAGAGTAAAAACAGGTAAACAAAGGAAATGTCAGAACATGAGGATAGTGGACTAAGTTTTTCTGTCCTAAAAAACTTTCAGTTTTTTAGGACAGAAAGTTGCCCATAGAACTTGGAGTAAGAAAAGTATTTACTAATGACAGACAACCATTGAGGGCTGTATGAAAGGAGGTGGAAGATAAGATTGGTGGCTAAAATAGTTTCTGAAAAGTCAGAATTGTCTTCACTTATAGATGATGTAATGAATTTAAATTTGACAGTTTGACAGTCATATCTTGATAAAAAAAGGTGAGAAATAGTAAGAACGTTTGACTGACTAAATTGTCTTCAAGATGAAGAACAGTGATAATTTCAAGCATGTATTTAGCTCGAAATTAGTTCATACAGCTAAAGTGTTCCTGCAGTTTCAGCACTTTCCAAAGTCTCTTTTCAGGCTATATGCAAAATGAAAAATATTATAAATACCCCTCCTTCTGTGTGAGAAGAATGGTCTTCAGAGCTGGAGTAAAACTTGTAATCTGGTGGTACTTTCGTAAGATGCTTGTCTTTACCTCATTCTTCATTGACAAGTGGTCTTCATGTCTGAGCAGTGCTTTGGGTTTGCATGGGCAGGTTTTAGTGGCATGCAGGCTGCAGGTATCTTTTGTGGGAAGCTGACAGAAGCTTCCTCCATGTCCCATAAAGCTGATACCAGGAAGCTCCAGGATGGAGTGACAGTAGTAGGACACTGGGCC